ATGAAAGGAGCATTTTACCATAGCAGTTTTAGGAAGATTGAGAATTTATTAACGGATGCAAGCATTAAAAGAAATGTTTCAGTATTAAGGAGCCTCAGTCAAGTAGAAAAATTCGATAGAGTACTACAAGTAATTAACATTCATCTATCTATCTATCTATCTATCTATCTATCTATCTATCTATCTATCTATCTCACTTCATTCTCTGTCTGTTTGACGATCTATCTATCTATCTATCTATCTATGTCAATTCATTATCTATCTATCTATCTATCTATCTATCTATCTATCTATCTATGTCCTTTCATTATCTATCTATCTATCTATCTATCTATCTATCTATCTATCTATCTATGTCCTTTCATTCTCTATCAATCTACCAAGCTATCTAGCTATACCCTTTCATTATCTATCTTTATTTTCTTTTCTTTTATTAATTTTTTCACTCCAAGCAAATTGGGAATACCACTGGTACGCAGGGTTTTACAGAGAGTGAGTGCGGGAGAATAGAACCGAGGAAATTAGGATCGATAACTTTGTAGATCCATCTTTGGATTTTGTCAAGAACCTCGAGATGAGTAGCAGAAGCACCAGATCAGATATGGCAACAGTATTCAATGCACGGGCGAATCGTAGATTTGTAAATGTGCAAAATGGACTCTGGCGATAAAAAACCTTCTGGCACGACACAGTGACCAAATGTCCTTGCAATAGATGCAGCTACTGATTCGATGTAGTCGTTCCACTTCAGGTCAGTTGAACATGTGAGACCAAGAAGCCGCAGTGTGTTGCTTTTCATGTGCCCGCCATCAGAATCACGATATTGGTTTAATGGGAACAGTATCCTTTGTGCGGCATTTAAATTGACTAACCATCTTCTGGTCCAATTAACCACTGATTGGAGGTGCTTTTCAAAAGCAACGACCAGATTGCCTTTGTCAGCTCTGATGGATTCATTGAGACAAGGGTAAATGGTAGTGTCATTTGCATAAATGCCTACTTGGTAATTAAAGATCATTAATGAAGCTCAGAAACGGCGTAGGAACTAGAACTGAAAATTGGGGGACACCCGCGTTCGTGTGAAAGTATCTGGAAGCGAGCCAATTTAAAACGACCTTCATTTCACGATTAGATTGGAACGATTGAATTAAATCAATCAGTCGTCCAGTAAGACCGTAATCCTGGAGTTTTCGTAGTATACCAGCATACCAAACCCTGTCAAACGCCTTTGAGATAGCAAAAGCTATATTCAGGCTTTCACCGTTATTATGAAGAGCTTGATATATATATTCAGTGATGGACGTTATCAGATTAGTGGTAGATCTGGGAAACCGGAAGCCATAATATTTGTCAGAGAGTAGGTCGTGAGATGTAAGGTGCTTAACCACTTCAGTATTGATTAAAGACCTGTATATTTTCCCGAATAGCGGTAGGAGATTAATAGGGCGATAGAAATGTCAAAAGGTTCTTCGGGATTCTTAAAAGCAGGAACTACAGAGGAGGACTTCCAATAAGCTGGAAAGCAGGATGAAGCGAGGAAATAGTTGTAGAGTTTGGAGAGAACTGGAGACAGCTCAGGAGCACATTTCTTTAGGATGCCTCACCCCCGCTTGCCTTATTGAAGTCTAATTTTAAAAAAAATGTCTGAGACTTGTGACGGGCTTATGCGCATATCCCCCAGTAGGATCTCTGTCCTATTCAAAAAATCAGGAGTGGGTAATTCAAACGAGTCTAGTTTTGAGTTAGAAGAGAATTTCCGAGCAAAGCATTCAACCTTGTCTCCTATAGATGTCAGGACTTCGTAATGATAGAGTGGGGATTGAAGATTTGCTGGTGCTCAGCACACTCTTTCAAAGCTGGAAATAATCTGTAGAACCAAACTTGTGATAGGCTATACGTTGTTTCATTCTATCAGCAAACAATAACTTTGTTTCATTGAGGAAGAGATTGCACTCGTTACGAGCAGAGACAGAGAGACGTCTGTTGCAATCAGACGTGTCTCTCTGGTACAGTCGGAAGGAGTGATGTCTCTCAGCTATAGCGCCCGTGAATGCAGTTAAGAACTAGGGAGATTAACGTGGTTTAACTTGGTATTTCGTTGCTGGAATGAAAGCATCGAGGCGGGCTTTCTCTCACCCAGGAGAAACATCAGACGCGCCTTTTTAGAACAGGATGATTAAAAACTTCATTCCAAGGGACGTCATGAAGGAAATCATCGTACGAGTTCCAATCTTCTCGTTGGTAACAGAAAGATATTTTGTTGATAGGAGGTTTTTGGCTGGTGGAGAAGGGGAATATGTTTAGAGATAAAAGCGGGCAAAGCTGCGTAGTACGACAAGAGACAGGGATAAACGTAAAAAGAGATTGACATGAGAAGTGAGTCCGTCATTGTTACTGGCGAAACGCGTGGTAAGTGAATTAAATGGACTGGCAAAGAACGCGGCTATGTTCATAAATACATATTTCTTGCTTGTATGTGTGTCTGTTTGTGTGTGTTTTGCAATATAAGTCTACAGATTTCTTGATTTACTTAAATAATAATTTTTCTCATTGTTGTCACAATAATTCTCACTTTATTATATTTATTATAAAATCCAAGAATGTTTCAGAATATTATAAATAAATGACAGTACATTCTTTTCTCTCAAGATATATTCATATCATAAAAAGAGGATTAAGACAAGGGTGTCTCGTCTCCCCAGATTTAATCTACCGCAACAGCTAAATGCGCTGAAGACCTCCTTTTTTCTGCACGGACGTAGGCGATTATGGCTCTCCGCTTTCCTTTATGCCTTGCAGCTCTCAAAAATTTCGCCCCTCCCCTGCCACCTTCCCGAGACCACGTTCTGTCATCAACTTGCTTAAGCCGGCTTGGTATATCATGGGTTGTTTTCCCTTGTCTTTCTTCCCCTCAATTTGACCTGAGAGTGTCCGATTCTCCAGGCCCTCCTTGCTCATTTCGTTTCCCAGAAACTTCAGCTGCCTCTTCCTGATGTGAAGTATAAGCGTCCTCCTTGTTTGCATCCTCGCTAAGATCTCATCGTTGCTCACACGCTCAGTCCATGATATCCTTACCAGGATGTATTCCAGTGGGCGTATTCTTAACAATATAAAATGCGAAGACGACACTGTGTTGATGGCTGAGACATGAAGAAAACTACAGTAATACATAGACAATGTAGTAAAGGAAAGCAAGAAGAAAGGACTAGTCATCAGCTGCGAGAAAACAGAATGTCATGCCATTTACATGATTAGAAGTATGCCGGAGAGGGCAATACATATGCAGAAGGATGTACACGTATGTTATATAGATTAAGCAAAAGTACATGGATCTATTTGAATTCTTAGGAAAATTAGATAAATGATTTTAGAATAATCCAGAACTCATACTGGGATAAACCGCCTTCGTACGGATAGAAAATTACGTAGCTAACACGAAAATACAAAGAGGCGTATGTCTTCTACGCAGATTTGTTGAGACTCGTGGGAGCTGGAGGATTTATTATCGGTGGGCCTAATCTTATCGATACAAGATACACAAATGACGCTGTATTGATGGCTTACACGAGAGAAAATGAACTACAGAATCTCCTAGACAGATTAATAAAAGAAAGCGGGAAAAATGAACTATAAGAAGATAGAATGTATGATGATCAGCATCAGAAAGCCCCTCAAGATGCGAGTGACAGACTGAAGATTTAAGCATCAAGCAAGTATAGAAGTTTAAATAGCTGGGGAAAGTTTTAACAGAGGTTTGAAAATGTGACATCAAAATCCAAAGACGCATTTGATTAGCGAATAACGCATTCCAAAAGCTAAGGAAAGTGTTCAGGAATAGAAAAACTTTCTTTAGAAACAAAGAAAAGATCCCTGAAATGCCATGTGATATCCAAAACCTTATATGGCAATGAATGCTGGGCAAACGCTCTACAAATATACTGAGAATTCCATGGAAGGAACGGGTAATCAACTCGAAAGTTTGAAAGAAAATATCAACAAAAAGAACACTTATACTCAGAATCGGGGAGAGAGAACTGAAGTTTCTTAGCTGCATAATGATAAAGGATGTCTTAGAAAACCTAATCCTCAAAAGGCATATTGGTTGTAAGAGGGATAGGTGAAGACAGGGAACAACGAAGATGACGGGTATATGTCCTGGAAATGATCTTTGAATGGATGGTGTTACGGGAGAACAACTGCTACAAGAGATAGGAAGTTTTGTATAGCCATGATCGGCCATGTCCTGAAGAGACGAGTCACATAGAAACACATACATTTGGACTTCTTCTTTTTCTATGTGTTGTGCTCATTCAGGATGTGGCCGGTCATGACTCTCCACAATTTTAAATATATACGAAACTCTCATCAAAGAAAAATAGGTGGGTGGTGCTGTCTGGTAAAGCCGAATGTCCGAAGATGGAAGAAGCAGTAATTTGTCACTGATACTTGGGTTTGTACGCTTCCTTTTTAAACATTCATTCTGTTTCGATGACATGATGAGGGCAGAACAGTTACTATATTAATCGAAATAACAAAAGTAACAGATTTCTCACAGATACTTTCTTACGCACGCGTCTTTGGTTAGAATTGAAAGGCCAGACACTGCTGCCAAGCGGTCACTTTGAGAACTAATGCAACTTAACACAAGCTCGCAAATTTTGAAATACATCGCGCATTTCAAAATTTTTTCGAGCTGGAGATGAAATCACCAATTCTCAATACCCGCTTAACGTCAGTAACGGGCCTTTCGATATAAACAAAGAATCTGAAAACCAGCTGTGAGAAATCTGTTATTTTTGTTATTGATGTGTTGACGTATAAGTTCTGGATTTTTCTAAAATCATTTATCTAATTTTCCTAAGAATTCAAATACATCCATGTACTTTAGTTTGCCAAATACTTTTTACTTAATCCATATAACATACGTGTACATCCTTCTGCATATGTATTGCCCTCTCCGGCATAATTCTAATCATGTAAATGGCATGACATTCTGTTTTCTCGCAGCTGATGACTAGTCCTTTCTTCTTGCTTTCCTTTACTACATTTTCTATGTATTACTGTAATTTTCTTCATGTCTCAGCCATCAAAACGATTTGACCGTTTGGAAGATTTTTGTTTTTTTTCTCCAGATTGTTTTTTTTTTATTTTACATGAAGATTTTGTACTTTGAATCCGAAGTCCGTTGAAGCGGGGTCCGTAGATGAGAGGTTTTCCTGTACTTTGTAGGTTTTAGTAAGTTTAGTATGGAATATAGAATGAACGTATATATCCAGACTTTCGCTGGCAGCAATTTGATCGGGCTAACAGGTGTCGTGATCTGGAAAACAGAAAAGGTTTTATTCTCCAGAATGACATTGTAAGGGCACATTCAAAAAAAAAAAAAAAAAAAAAACAAAGAAAAAAAACACATAAGGCAAAATAAGATTCTTTAAACGTGCATTGGAAACCTTTCCTTACAACTGGGTTTAAGTCATTTCAAATGAAAGTGATATCATTTTTGATTGGCA